GGGGGGAGGGGGAATCCAAGCAGGGCAAGGACGTTTGGAACTATCGTCATCTCATCGGGACGCCTCGCTTTGGACCCTTTCCTCGGATGCGCCAAGTTTAACACGGAAAAAATATTGTTAAGAACTAATACATTAGCTAATTTTGTGATTGTCCAGAAATTCGCTGTGGCACCTGAGAATTAGTTGTCAGAGACAAGAGTTCGTTGCATCAACTAACCAGTATATTCAGGTTAGATGTAGCAACGAACTCTTGTCTCTGACAACTAATTCTTAGGTGCCACAGCGAATTTCTGGACAATTACAAAATTAGCTAATAATGTATTAGTTCTTAACAATATAACATTTCGCGGCTGTTCTCATCAACCTGCAAGATATGTCCATCTTGTTGTATCAAAAGAAAATAAGAATCCTTAACGTGATTTTAGTTTTTACAGACTTAGTGTTTGGCATTCGATACTTTGAGCCGAAAACTGTGGAACTAGTTCACTTATTTTTTTTCACTTTTACCAAAAGCTCGAGAACATTAAGTTTGTTCGACAGCTCGGCAACAAATCTTACTTTAGACATTATTGACGTCTTGAAGACACACCATAGCGCGCCATGTTCCAAATAACGTAACCTACCGGACCAATTAGGAGCGAGATATTGCGTCTGAAAGTTCGGCGCAACGTAGAAGTACGGCCATTCAGTGACTTCAAACTTAATGGTCAGTTTTCGCACTGGAAAGTACAAAACAGCTCTTTTCGCACCATCAAGTGCGCTTTTTTGAAAAATATTTTGCTTGTAGTTTTTAGTGAGTCCGACAGAAACCCTATGCATACGATTAAACGACGCATGCATGACCACATGGGCTCGAATATACGTGGTATTTCTGATAATCATCCCCCTACGCTTCGTTTGCTTTGCTTCCTTCTGTCCCCAACCAGCACTCGACCAGGCTATCCCCGAGAGGTCATAACCATGACGCGGCCCAGTTTTATCTGAAAAGGTCCCAAGATCATCGCTTTAGAGGCTAATTAATCGCTGCGAAATGGGGGCGCTTAAGGCTGCTCCTGCTGCTGGGCTGCTGCTGATGATGATGAAGAAGTTTATTTTTACGGCCAATCAATGGACGGGACGGGCCGCGCGCTGCTGCTACAGCTCCCTTTATATTCGACCAAAGGCAGGGATAAAAAAAAAATCAGCGAAAAACGTCTAGTGCGCGCGCACACGCTGCTGCCGAACGGAAACGCAATGCGAACGGCAGCAGACGACGCGTTTATAGGAGAATTACGGACTAAGTCGACCGCTCGAAATGCTAGGCATTCCACAGCTGGGCTGCGCCGCCGTCCGTCCCGGCGCGCGGCAGCGTGCATCTCCTATTGCCTCGGCCTTGACGCACGTCTAAGAGAGAGAGAGAGAGAGAGAGAGAGAGAGAGAGAATCAGAAAGGGGGTGAATTTCTTTGGTCGGAATTCACCCAGAAAATGGGAAGTTGTAACGGCCGTTCTAATATTTATTAGTGTAATTTTTATAATTCATTATTATGTAGCTATAGCTGTGCGACAACCATAAAATCATATTCGACACACCGGCTGATACCGGGTACAATTAGCCACGGGGTAACTAGTTTCATGCTCACGACCATCATATTATTCATAGTCGCTTAGAAAAATCAGGAAAGTGTCAGGAAAAATAGCGTTAGGTGCGATAATTGCCTTCCCGCCTGTGAGACAGCGCGCATCTGAGCACACTCAAAACCATATAGTGCACCTAGTTCACACATGCAAGTCGACACACGAGAATAAGAACCGCTCACCTCTAGCGACCGTTTCGAAAATCGCTTAACTCTGCCGACCGTCTGGAAAACCGCTCACCTCTGCAGACTGTCTGGAAATCCGCTTAAATTTTTTTTACACATTTGGAGCTATCGGCATTATTAGAATCAGCGTCTTTTGGGGATGATTTTGATGCCAATATCTCAAAATTTGCAAAAAATTCATTTAAGCGGTTATCTAAACAGTTTGCAGAGGTGAGCGGTTTTCCAGACGGTCGGCAGAGGTAAGCGGTTTTCTAAACGGTCGCCAGAGGTGAGCGGTTGTTATTCTCGCGTGTCGAAGTGCGTACTCGCCATACTACACACAAAGAAGACTGTACTATAGATGCCATACTAATCTAAATGAGTTCTTTGCCTCATTCCTGTCGATGACGACAAAACCGTGGCTAGTTTTTAATACATGGATGTCGTCACAGGTTTTCTTGTCATCAGGAAAGGAGATGTGATGAGAAAACTCATGACGACATCCCTGTACTAAAAATAAGCCATGTATTTGTCGTTATCGTGGCAAGAAAGGTTCACACTACACACAAGCAAGAGCGTAAGAACACAATATTTTGTAGTTTTTTTGTAGTTTTGTGGTTTTTACCATGAGCATGAGCTAATTATATGCAGGTTCTTCCATCTTTTTATTTTTCTGGATAAAACGGAATGCCTTTACTCTTCATTTGATTGCGAGAATTTTCGTTATCTTACACTTAATTATTACCTTACAAAGAGAAGTATCTTCATGTTAAAAAATATTGGATTTGTAACTCACAGCATCTGGAACCATCAAATTAGAAACGGATTTTCATATTTTACAAAGGGCGCATTATTACCAGACACGTGCTATTTCATTGTAAAAAGGTTATAGTCTACAGTAGACTCACAGGTTGGGTCAAACTGGCCGTGCATCATAGCTGCCGCTCTCGGCTGGGAAAAGAATTTGGGAGTTGACTAAAACTGGTTGTGGCGCTGAGATTGGCGTACCGTGCCCGATCGCTCGTGGATCACAGAATATGAGAGTGAGGTAGAGAGAGGGG